TTCTTTATAAATTACCCAGCCTCGGGTATCTCTCTAGATGGAAGCAAGAATGGCCTAACACCATCTACACAAGCAAGCTTCCCTAACTCACCTTCATCTGCCATTCTCTTTTTTTTTTTTTTTTTTTTTGAGACAGAGTTTCGCTATGTTGCCCAGGCTGGAGTGCAACTGCAACCTCTGCCTCCCGGGTTCAAGCAATTCTCCTGCCTCAGCTTCCTGAGTAGCTGGGATAACAGGCATGCGCCACCATTCCCAGCTAAGTTTTGTATTTTTAGTGGAGATGGGGTTTCACCATGTTGGTCAGGCTGGTCTCGAACTCCTGACCTCAGGTCATCCACCCACCTTGGCTTCCCACAGTGCTGGGATTACAGAGGTGAGTCACCAAGCCGGCCTCAAACTGTCTTCTGTGTATGGTGTGAAGTGGGCAGGAGCTGAGGTTTATTCTTTTGCAGGTGTATGTCCAGCTGCCCTGGCCCTGGAAATACCCCTTTCTCCATCTAGTGGACTTTGTACCTTGGTAGAAGGCCAGCTGTCCGCGGGCGTGAAGTCCGTTTCTGCATCTTTCCCCTTCCACGGTCTGTGTGTCCACTGGGAGCTGTGGTCTTAGTGTCTGTGGCTCTACACACCCACGTCTTGGGAGGCAGGACACAGGGATCACTGGCTTCTGCTCTGAGACGTCCTTGGCACTTCCCGGGGAAACTTGGGATCCCCCTGTTGATTTCTAGAGCTGCGTCCTGGGGCTGCTTGAGTCCTTCAAGGAACCCCTTCGTGGCTCCCCTTCAGAGACCCCCATCACCTGCAGAAACTCTCTCCCGCACCCAGGACCAAGGTTGAGCTCAGGCCTCTGCCAGCATGCCCCGTGAAGACCACCACCGATGGACTCCTGCGGCGGCTCACATCCCACCACTGGGGGGAGCCCAAGGAGCCTCCAAGGACTTCCTAGAACAGAGCCCCTCCCTCCCTTCCACCCTTCACATCTTCCCTCTGCCCACCTGGTGACTGCCATGGTAGGTGGCTCTCCCCCGCTGGGCCTTCCATCAGCACCAAGGGGTGGGCAGCGAGGCACCAGGACACCCCCGCCACGGGCCCCATCAACACTGGGATTTGTAGTGGGAGCTCTCCTTACCAAAGAGGTTAAAAACAAGCAGCAGGCCGAGCACGGTGGCTCACGTCTATAATTTCAGCAGTCCGAGGCAGGCGGCTCATCTGAGGTCAGGAGTTCAAGAGCAGCCTGAGCAACATGGTGAAACCCCGTGACTACTAAAAATATTACAAAGTTAGCCAGGTATGGTGGCGGGTGCCTTTAATTCCAGCTACTTGGGAGGCTGAGGCAGGAGAATCACTTGAACCCAGGAGGCGAAGGTTGCCGTGAGCCGTGATGGCGCCAGTGCACTCCAGCGACAAGAACGAAACTCTGTCTCAGAAAAAAAAAAAAAAGGCAGCAAACACAGTCGGCTCCACCACAGTCAGAACGCCCAGAATAGAAGGAAGGGGACACCTAGGGGTGCTGGGTGCTGACGGGAGCTTCCCAGGGTCCGTCCCCACGCGGCAGTGCAAAGATGAAGGACAAGGAAAGGATCCAGGACGAATCGCCCAACCCTGAATCCCGTCTGGCTATGGCCTGACAGAGGGAGGTGGGTGAGAGGGGTGTCCTCAGCAGGAGGCCCAGGAGCAGCCTGTTGTCCAGACCTGCACGTGGCTGCCTGTGCTGAGGGGCACCCTGACGCCACTGTGACAACCCTCACCTGGGGCCCTGCCATCCGAGGTTGACTCAGGTGCTCAGGGCTGGTTTACAGGGTCACCCCAGGCAGGAAGAATCCCTGAAAACTGAGGAGGAGCCTGTGCTCAGAGGGGTCCCGGGAGCCTTCTATGCTGGCAGCCCCCATGGCCCTGGACACCAGAACGGAAGCCACTGTATCCTGGGGCCCCTTCTGGCCCAGCCCAGCACCTGTTCTTCCTCCAGGCCCCAGTGCAACTTGACCTCCCACCCCGCCATCACTGGCCTTTCGCTGGTGGGCCAGTCCCTATTCCCCCATGGAGGAACCCTCCCCCTGCCCAGCAGACCTGCCTTCTGGCCTCACCCCTATCTCTGCAAGGTCCCCAACCTAGCGCAGGTCCCCAAAGAACCCGCCGAAGCCCTGCCCGGTGGGTCCACTTTTCCCGGAGACTTGGCTGGTTTTCTCCCAGCCTCAGCCCAGGGCCTGCCCCAGAACAGGTCGGGACACACCCGCTGCACGGACAAGGGCTCCCTCAGCCTCCCCACCCAGCCAGGGACAAGGGAGCAGGCCCCAGAGGTGCTGACGGGTTAGCGCTAGGGAAAGGCGCCAACCCCTGAGTGACAGCCACATGTACAGAAAACACACCGGGCATCTCCGAGTCACAGGGCCTCTGCGGGCACCCCCATGCCGGCATCCTCGGCCCTGGCTCTGAGTCCCCAGGCAGACCCTGGCCATTCCTCAGCTCCACCAGGTCTCTGAGCCACTGCGGGCCGTGGAAGCAGGACTGAGGCCAGGGTGTGCTGGGGACATCCCTTCTCCACACACGTCCCCACCTGCTCCTGACCTGCTGAGGCACAGAGAACAGAGGAGAAGGCAGCCTGGTTTGGGGCTGGAAGGGAAGTCTCCTGAGATTAAGGGTGAGGACAAAAGAACGGAAACTACCCAGATGTCCCTCGGTGGGGGCAGGTGAGAGACTGGGCGTCCCGCTCCACAGAGGACGGGCCAGCCGTGGTGGGAAGCTGGGCTGAGTGCTGGGACCGCGTGGTGACGAGCGTGTCCCTGTTTCATCCACAGGCAAAGCAACGCTTCAGCTGTAGACATATGCACAGATTCATTCCGATGTTAAAAATAGGACGTAGGCCGGGCGTGGTGACTCACACCTGTAATCCCAGCACTTTGGGAGGCCGAGGTGAGCGGATCCCCTGAGGTCAGGAGTTCAAGACCAGGCTGGCCAACATGGTGAAACCCTATCTCTACTAATAATACAAAAATTAGCCGGGCATGGTGGTGTGTGCCTGTAATCCCAGCTACTCAAAAGGCTGAAGCAGGAGAATCACTTGAACCTGGGAGGTGGAGGTTGCAGTGAGCGGAGACTGTGCTATTGCATTCCAGCCTGGGTGACAGAGTGAGACAAGAAGAAAGAAAAAAGAAAGAAGAGAGAGAGAGGAAGGAAAGAAAAGAAAGAAAGGGAAAAGAAAGAGGGAGGAAGGAAGGAAAAGGGAAGGGAAGGGAGAAAGAGAGAAAATATAATGAAAACGTATTCACAACACCAATCAATAGTCACCTTTCTTTGAGACAGAGTCTCATTCTGTCACCCAGGCTGGAGTGCAGTGGCATGATCTTGGCTCACTGCAACATTTGCCTCCAGGTTCAAACAATTCTCATGCCTCAGCCAGATGAGTAGCTGGGATTACAAGCACGTGCCACCATGGCCAGCTAACTTTTGTATTTTTACTGGAGACAGAGTCTCCAACTCCTGTGTTCAAGTATCTGCCCACCAGGTGCTGGGATTACGGGCGTCAGCCACTACACTCAGCTACAAGGACTCTTTTTTTTTTTTCTCCAGATGGAGTCTCGCTCTCTGTCGCTCATACTGGAGTGCGATGGCTCAATCTTGGCTGACTGCAACCTCCACCCCCCGGGCTCAAGCAATCTCAAGCAATTCTCCTGCCACAGCCTCCCAAGTAGCTGGGATTACAGGCAGGCACCACCATGCCCAGCTATATTTTGTATTTTTTTTTTTTTTTTTTTTAGTAGAGATGGGATTTCACCATGTTACCCAAGCTAGTCTTGAACTCCTGACCTCAGGTGATCCACCCACCTTGGCCTCCCAAAGTGCTGGGATTACAGGCATGAGCCACTGCACTTGGCCAGGACTCCCATTTTTTAAAAGAAGAAAGAAATGAAAAGATACGTCATGTTCCTAGATTTAACTTTTTTTCTTTTCTGAGACAAAGTCTCACTCTGTCACCCAGTCTGGAGTGCAGTGGTGAGATCATGGCCCACTGCAGCCTTGAACTTCTGGCTTCCGTGATCCTGCCGCCTCCTTTTGGGTTGAGATGGGGTCTTGCTATGTTGCCCAAACTGGTCTCCAACTCTTGGCCTCAAGAAATCCTCCCAGCTCAGCTTCCTAAAGCACTGGGATTACAGCTGTGAGCCCCTGTGGCTGGATTTAACTTTTTTTTTTTTTGAGATGGAGTTTTGCTCTTGTCACCCAGGCTGGAGTACAGTGGTGTCATCTCTACTCACTACAGCCTCCGCCTCTGGGTTCAAGCCATTCTCCTGCTTCAGCCTCTCAAGTAGCTGAGACTACGGAATGCATCACCACGCCCAGCTAATTTTGTATTTTTAAAGAGACAGGGTTTCTTCATGTTGGTCAGGCTGATCTTGAACCCCAGATCTCAGGTGATCCACCCACCTTGACCTCCCAGAGATTACAGGGGTGAGCCACCTAGCCCGGCTGTGGATTTGACTTCTTAACTGTATTTTTTACAAGTTAGTTATTCCTTAATTAGTGTATAAATCTAATACTATTACAATCAAATTACCAATGGGATTTTTCAAAAAACTTGATTTAATGTTCTTCTGGAAGGTGAGTGAGTATGAGACAAGACACTTGAGGCCGGGCGCGGTGGCTCACGCCTGTAATTCCAGCACTTTGGGAGGCCGAGGCGGGTGGATCACGCGGTCAGGAGATCGAGACCATCCTGGTCAACATGGTGAAACCCCGTCTCTACTAAAAATGCAAAAAAAATTAGCTGGGCATGGTGGCGTGTGCCTGTAATCCCAGCTACTCAGGAGGCTGAGGCAGGAGAATTGCCTGAACCCAGGAGGCGGAGGTTGCGGTGAGCCGAGATTGCGCCATTGCACTCCAGCCTGGGTAACAAGAGCAAAACTCCGTCTTAAAAAAAAAAAAAAAAAAAAAGACACTTTTGAAGACTGTCACGTGGTGCCGGACATTTAAATGTAGCACACGGGCACAACTGGCTTGAGCGACTGGAAACAAGATGCAGGACCCCAACGCAGACACTGGGTGTAATGCCATCTTATGCAAAAAGGGCACCTTGCCCCCCAGGGAAAGTCTGAAAGAATTGGAAGAGGAGACAGAAGAGGAGCAGCACATGGTCCAGCAGTCAGTGGTGACAATGTGTGAAGACATGACTGGAAGAGCTGAAGGGTCAGGAAGACGAGTTTAATGAGGAGGATGAACGTGCTGTTGAAATGCGCAGACGGCCGAGACTGGCTGAGCGGAAAGCAGCTAAACTGAAGAATAAATGTGGAGAAGGTTTGGAGATCTCAGGGAAGGCTTATGTCAGGAAGTAACCAGAGCCGGTGAGGGCTTGTGGGTCATCTTGCACCTTTGCAAACAAGGAATTCCCCTGTGTGCCCTGATAAATGAGCACGTCAGTGGACTTGGCAGCAAGTTTCCTGATGTGAAGTTTCTCAAAGCCATCTCAACAACCTGCACACCCAACTACCCTGATAGGACTCCGCCACGATATCTGTTTACCTGGAAGGTGAGATCAAGGCTCAGTTTGTCGGTCCTCTGGTGTTTGGTGGCATGAACCTGACAAGAGACGAGCGGCAGTGGAAACTGCCTGAATCGCACGTGGAGGAGAACCCTAAGAAGCAGACTGAAGACGTGTTGCTGCCCTCAGTGCGGCGCTCTGTCCCCACGTGGAGGGACAGCGATTCCGACGGGGACTGAGGCGGCAGCTGCTATCACATGCCGAACTTTCTGTGACAAATTGCCTGAATTTTTTAAAAAAGGGAGAAGCGGGAATGAATCCTTCTGATTTTTAGTTTTGTATACATTATGTTTTAAATCTTTACATTTTGGAAATAATCATTGCTGGAAATTCTGTTAAATATTTTGCAACTTTCTAAATTATAGTACCTCCTCTAAAAAAAATTAAAACCAGCTCTTGGTATGGTTAAAAAAAAAAATGTAGCATAAAGCTGCAGTCAGCCAGGCGGGGGCTCTGATGCAGAAGCGGACACACCCCTGGAGTGAAATGCAAACCCTGAGACCCAGGCACTCGGGAAGGCAGGCAATTTAACACAGGGTTCTGGCTGCATCAGGAGACGGAGGGCGTCTTCAGTGAGCAACCTTCCGAGAACCGAACGGTCATTTGTAAAAAGGCAAACTCGAGAACTATTCCAGTCAGAATTAATATATAAAATGACTTAAATGAAGACACAAAATGACATGGAAAAAAATGAAATAAAATACCCAAAGGAAATAAAGGTGCATGCTTATATCATCTTGGGGTGAAGAGGAACTTTTTTTTTTTTTTTGAGACAGAGTTTTGCTCTTGTTACCCAGGCTGGAGTGCAATGGCGCAATCTCTGCTCACCGCAACCTCCGCCTCCTGGGTTCAGGCAATTCTCCTGCCTCAGCCTCCCGAGTAGCTGGGATTACAGGCACGCGCCACCATGCCCAGCTAATTTTTGTATTTTTTTTAGTAGAGACAGGGTTTCACCATGTTGACCAGGATGGTCTCGATCTCTTGACCTCGTGATCCACCCGCCTCGGCCTCCCAAAGTGCTGGGATTGCAGGCTTGAGCCACTGCGCCGGGCAAAGAGGAGCTTTTTAAGTGTGCTAGAAAGAATGGAGGCCTGAAAAAAGGCTTATAGACCCGACTTAATAATAATGTAATGAGCTTGCATAGAAAAAAGCTGTAAAACAGTAAAACAGGTTAACAAGCTGAAGAAAATACTTGTGACTTACATAGACAAGGAGTATATGAGTTAATATCTTTAACATGGGCCAGGCGCGGTGGCTCAAGCCTGTAATCCCAGCACTTTGGGAGGCCGAGGCGGGTGGATCACGAGGTCAAGAGATCGAGACCATCCTGGTCAACATGGTGAAACCCCATCTCTACTAAAAATACAAAAATTAGCTGGGCATGGTGGCGTGTGCCTGCAGTCCCAAGATCTGTGAGCCAAGATCGCGCCATTGCACTCCAGCCTGGGTAACAAGAGTGAAACTCCGTCTCAAAAAAAAAAGGAAAAAAAAGAAAGTATGTGACGGATGCACAAATCATACTCGTTTTCCAGACAGGACACAATTTCATTCCTGGCTTTTATAAATGTACCGTAAGGGAAATTTCCTTTACTTAGTAGGTTTGGGGGAAATGGTGGGTAACTTTTTTTGGAGGGGTCAGGGACGGAGCCTTGCTCTGTCCCTCAGGCTGGAGTGTAGTGGTGTGGTCTCTGCTCACTGCAACCTCCGCCTCCCAGGTTCAGCTGATTCTCCTGTCTCAGCCTCCTGAGTAGCTGGGATTACAGGCGCCGATCACCACACCCAGCTAATTTTTATGTTTTTAGTGGAGATGGCAGTTTCGCCATGTTGGCCAGGCTGGTCTCGAACTCCTGACCTCGTGATCTGCCCACCTCAACCTCCCAAAGTGCTGGAATTACAGGCATGAGCCACCTCACCTGGCCATGGTGGGTAATTTAATGGATTAAGCAGAGGTAGTATTTCGAGATTCTAAGAGACTCTAACACAAAGAGGCAAACTGTGACCACAGCGTGACCCTGGCAATCTGACTGTGCTCGTGATGGCAGCTCTGGATTGGGCTCCGCTATGAGGGTTGCAGTTCTTCCATGGGAAGCCTCAGTGAACCCCAACTAGGGGCCGGGAAGAGGCTGCAGGCCAGGAGAGGAGGATGTTCGGTCATTTTCGTGGGTGGCCCAGGGACCTTGTTTCTGTGGGAACAGCGATTTGGAAGTGGTCTCATTTTTCACTAGCTTTGCTATTGTCTGGAATGGGCTTGTCTGAGGTCTGCCCTGAGACGTTGCTGACATCTGCAGGAGAGCACTAGGACCTCGCTGTGGGCACTGGACTTGTCTTTCTCAGCGTATTTCTTTTCTTTTCTCTTTTTTTTGGTGGGGGGATGGAGTCTTGCTCTGTTGCTCAGGCTGGAGTGTAATGGTGTGATCTTGGCTCACTGCAACCTCCACCTCTGGGTTAAAGTGATTCTCCTGCTTCAGCCTCCCGAGTAGCTGCAATTACAGGTGCCTGCCACCATGCCCAGCTAATTTTTGCATTTTTTAAGTAGAGATGGGATTTCACCATGTTGGTCAGGCTGGTCTCAAACTTCTGACCTCAGGTGATCCACCTGCCTCAACCTCCAAAGTGCTGGGATTACAGGCACGAGCCACGGTGCTCAGCGTCTTTCTCAGTATTGAAGCGTCAGCTTTGTCCAAGGTTCAGAGAGCCGCAGGCCTGGGTGTGGTGCTGGAGAAGTCTCGGACCATGGGCCCTGGGGCACCCTGCCGTCCTCTCCAGATCAGGCGATGTCCTCTCTAGGTCAGGCGACGCAAGGGTCACGTCACCTCTGACTCCAGAGGCACTTCCTCTTCAGGAGAAGAAAGAATGTTTGCTCATTCACTCATTCACCCCACAAACACAGAATACCACCACTCCTCACCCCACTACAGCTGGGTGGGTCATGTGACTCGATGTGGCCACTGAATGTGGAGGGGTCACCATGTCCCTTCGCCTGCCAAGATCACCACCTCGGTCTGCCCCACAGAAGCCTCCCGTGGCCCAAGGCCCCGAGCCTGTCCCCGGATGCCGGCTTTGGCTCCTGCTGCCTATAGACTGATCAGGCGGAGGTGAGGCAACCTCTTCCAGACCGTGGGCTGGGGGGCAGAGTGCACGGCGTGGCGTCCCCCGGGCTCCCCAGCCCCCAGCTGGCGTCGGCACCAGTCCTCACACCATCACGGGCTCCTGGACAGAGGCTGAGTTGCATGGTCTTCCCACTTCTGGAGCGTGGTTTCCCACCTGGGGGTTTCCGGACAGTTTCACGTGCCATTTAGAAACACACCATCAGGGGAAGGCTCTTTGCATTGGCAGCTCCGGAAGAGACAGAGGCTTCTCTTGATTAAGGGTGTCTGTCCTATGTGCTTCTCAGAGACTTTACACAGGGATGCAAATCTCGACCCTCCCAGCAGACGGGGTACACAGTGTGTCCTAAACAACCTGACCGTGCACCCTGTTCCCAAGCACACCCATGACGGTGCCTTCTGGAAGGTGGGAGAAGCCACAGTCCCTGCTGGGGTCCAGTGCACCAGCCGGCTGGGCTGGGTGAGGCTTCAGTGACCACCTCAGGCCCCCAGGGCCTCCACAGCAGCGGCTGCCGTCCTGTCCTTTCTTCCTGATCCTCACGGCCCACACTGTATGCGACCACTCTGGGTCCAGCTGGGCCCGGGCCGAGGCCAAGTTGAGTGACAGGGCCTTTCCAGACCCCCCTAGGCTCAACGGCATCGGAAATCAACGTGGGGTGAGCTGTGGGTCACCCCATCAGTCCAGCACACAGGTGTCCTGGATGCACCCATGAGTGCCAGGAAAGGGCAGCCACACAGGGGGACTGTGCTGCACAGCCCTGGAGCCCTGCCTGGGAGCTTTAAGGCACACCCTGCCATGTTTGTGGCCTCGGGGCTTCCTGGGGCATTGGAGAATGAGGTCAGAGGTCCCCCAGTGCCCAGCACCTGTGGCCCCCATGCTGGTGGGCATGCACAGGGTCCGATGCCAGTGGTGGCCTCAGGGATTGAGCTCCCCAAGGGCTACCCATGAGAGGCTGGCTCTTTGGGGCCCATCTGCAGAGCACTGGGCCTCTCTCCTGCTGAGGCCGCTCTGGTCTCTGCTGAGCTGCAGGGAGTGCACAGGAATCGGGGGCTCGGATGGACACAAGGGGCTTCCTGTCCTCTGGCCTACACTGGGGCACCCACCCAGGACAGAACCTCCTGCAGCCTCCACCAAGGCTGGGAGCTCCCCGCCTGCCAGGAGGCCATCCCTTCAAGCCTTTAGAAAACTGCCCTTCCCGATCACTCCAGGTCAGGAGTTTGAGACCAGCCTGGCCAACGTGGTGAAACCCCGTGTCTACTAAAAATACAAAAATTAGCCCAGCGTGGTGGTGCATGGCTGTAATCCCAGCTACTCAGGAGGCTGAGGCAGGAGAATCGCTTGAACCCCGGAGGTGGAGGTTGCAGTGAGCTGAGATCCTGTCACTGTGCTCCTGCCTGGCAACAGAACAAGATCCTGTCTCAAAAAAAAAAAAGAAAACCACCCTGCCAGGACCTCCCCGTGCAGGCAGGAACTACACCACAGGGGCAGGGGAGGCTGTGTGTGTGTCAGGGGAGGCTGGGTGTCTATCAGGGGAGGGAGGGTGTCTGTCAGGGGAGGCTGGGTGTCAGGGGAGGGAGGGTGTCTGTCAGGGGAGGCTGGGTGCCTGTCAGGGGAGGCTGGGTGTCAGTCAGGGGAGGCTGGGTGTGTGTCAGGGGAGGCTGGGTGTCAGTCAGGGGAGGCTGGGTGTCAGGGGAGGCTGGGTGTGTGTCAGGGGAGGCTGGGTGTCAGGGGAGGCTGGGTGTGTGTCAGGGGAGGCTGGGTGTCTGTCAGGGGAGGCTGGGTGTCTGTCAGGGGAGGCTGGGTGTCTGTCAGGGGAGGCTGGGTGTCAGGGGAGGGAGGGTGTCTGTCAGGGGAGGCTGGGTGTCTGCCAGGGGAGGCTGGGTGTCAGGGGAGGCTGGGTGTCTGTCAGGGGAGGTTGGGTGTCAGGGGAGGGAGGGTGTCAGGGGAGGCTGGGTGTCAGGGGAGGCTGGGTGTCAGTCAGGGGAGGCTGGGTGTCAGTCAGGGGAGGCTGGGTGTCTGTCAGGGGAGGCTGGGTGTCAGGGGAGGGAGGGTGTCTGTCAGGGGAGGGAGGGTGTCAGGGGAGGCTGGGTGTCTGTCAGGGGAGGTTGGGTATCAGGGGAGGGAGGGTGTCAGGGGAGGCTGGGTGTGTGTCAGGGGAGGCTGGGTGTCAGTCAGGGGAGGCTGGGTGTCAGGGGAGGCTGGGTGTCTGTCAGGGGAGGTTGGGTATCAGGGGAGGGAGGGTGTCAGGGGAGGGAGGGTGTCAGGGGAGGCTGGGTGTCAGGGGAGGGAGGGTGTCT